CCCAACTGGTACTTGTTTTTCTTCCTGTATATGTGAGTATACGTGGTCGGTCTGTCTGTCTGTGCGATCATACTGTGTACCTATGTGTGTCTGCGTATCCATGTGGAGCCCTAGGATGCTCCTTGCTCTCTAGGGGTGTGCACCTGCTGCGGTGTCTTCACTATGGTAATGACGGAGGCTGTGTTCAGACGGGGTGTGGTGGCCAGCAGACTGCCTCCTCCGGATTCCAGACCTCTGGCAAAGCGCTGCAGGGCAGCGAGACGGGCACCCAGCCCTTCCAGCTCCCGCCGCATGCCTGCGTTCTCAGACCCCAGCCGCTCCACCTCCCGCTGCAGCTCCTTCTTCTGCTGCTCCAGGGCCTCGCGCTGGGACACGCGCTTCACCCGGCAGCTCGCCGCGTAGCCGCGGTTTTTCAACGTGCGTCGCCTCTGCTTCAGCTTCTGCACTTCCTCGCGTGACAAACCGCGCAAGTGCATGTTGAGCTCGCGCACCGACAGCGACATGAGCTCACTGTCGCTCAGCACTGGGACGTTCTCCCCGCATTCCCTCTTCACCTGAAATAATAGGACATTATTTGGATTGTAAAAAAATATTTAGTTTTTTTACTGTAAAAACGGAAACTATGGTAGTCAGAAAATTCGCCCTAAAAAATATGGTAAAAATGTTTCAGGAATTACCAGGTGGAATATTGGTGCCTGTGTAGTTTTCAGCTTATTTAAATGCTATAATGTTATTATACAAAAATATGCTGACACAGCCAACATAATAATAGAGATGGTAAAATAGAAAGCCACATGATGAATCAGAGTTCATCATAAGTGGCCTGTCCATAAAACCTGACCAAAACTCCTTATATAAACAGTTCACAGGGCCATACACAAAGACAAAATGCCATCAGAGTAACACACAAGACTAAAATAATACAATAAACACTAACTAAATAACAGAAAAGTAGCCTAATGCATAACTGATAACACAAATGAGAAGAAAGAAATAATAATTAAATACAACTGTGATGTTGATGTCACAATGTGACGTCTGGGAATGTCCTTTTTTTTCTATAAATTGTGGCAATTCATAGTTTTGACAAGTGAATAGCTATACCATAAATTTGACAGTATTTTACAGTAAACTTACATAAAGTGATGTTATACCCCATTCACTGTTTCTCATTTATTGTATACGGTAAGGTAACTTAGGCTACAGTTAGCCAATTAACAGGTTTAACTCCAGCATTTTTTACAGTATATTTTTGTAATAATTACAATTTACAGAATGTGACAAAATTCACAAGTGTTTTCTGTAAAATGATCTTTACCTTCAGGGCTTTACTGGCTCTGCCGTCTGAAGTCATTGTCTGTATTTATGTATCCCTGAAACCTGTAAATGTCAAATACACCGATTAAGTGAAAATGGAATACATGGAATAAAGTCACACTATATTGTGAATATAGTCAAAGCTAGAGGCCGTTGTTATGCTGCTTGACTCAGCGAAACAACTATATTCACAATACTGCAAAATTTTGAGTGCCTTGCTTTTATTAAATAGTCAAAGCATAATAAAAATATTATGGACTCAACATTTTAATTAAAATGTTTTGCCAAGTGACACCTTGCACTAGAAGGCATAGAACCCTGACATAATAACAGTATGATGTTATACAACAGAAATAACCATATGCTATGCGAGATGCGCCGTGTTGATGATATCGGCCCATATATCTGCATATAGTTGCCATTTTTAATCATCAGCCTAGATTTTTTTTTTTTCTGAAAAATTCTATAGGATTACAGAATCGATTGCCATCTGAAGTATATATGTTTATTTTACAGATTCAAAAATATAAATTTTATATCGGCCACCAGGGGATCAAGCATTAAAAGACATCGGTTGACTACTATGAACAGGTGTATGGCATCATAGCTGGGTGATGGATTTTAGCACATAATAAGGAAGACAGAAGACAGGAACTATCCTTATATAAATATATAATGTGGTTTGTGTGGTCAGCTCGTGAACACTCAATCTGTTAGACCATTTAAAGACAAACCTCCAGATCTTATTTTCATTTTTCTAAATCTAGGCTTCCCGTATCCAAAGAGTAGCACTTTTTTTCTTGACAGTGAATCATGACTGGTCAAAGTCCAGATGAAGAAGTGAACGCTGCTGACCATGAGTTTCCCGTCGTGCGTGGGAAGTGCGCCTATCATCCGCGAGCTGCTGCCTCAAATAACCGACTACGCTTTTCCACAGAGTCACAGTGATTCAGCACAAGTTCTCCATTACTGACTTCACAGCAGCTCCTTACTTTCCTTTCGCATTTTGCGTTTTACATCATTTATAAAATTCCCAGTCACTTAGTCACAACAAATATTACCACTCACTTATAAACAGTTTATAAAACTCCTAGTAAACAACAACAACACAGGTCTTGGGCTGTCATTTTTCCCGAAACGTCTTGAGGTTAACATGCTCCTTAAGTATTGCGTTACTTACAAAGCGACAATTTAATAAAAAAAATTCAAATATAACTTATAATTATGAATAAAACATAATAAAGGATTATAACAACGTAAGAACCCGTTTATTACGTAAGATACTACTAGTTCAAATCAAACCAAGATTTTGCTGACTAGTCGTTTCTCATCGAAAACAACTTACACGTTTTGAGTAGTTCTGAATATAATACACACAGTTACGCTGAATACAAATATATATTTTAACTGTCTGAACCATGGTCTGAACCGGCAACATCTAAGCAGCTATTTCCTTATTACGCGTTAGCTTGTTGCTACACCTAACATCGTGATAAAAACATGCTATTCGCGCTCATGAAGACTAATACTATCAAAAATGTATAAAATACGACTCTAAATGATAGGTTAATATAAAAATCTAAACCATAACAGTATCAGTAGTGGGTATTACGTTAAAACAAACACTGGGTGCATGTAACGTTACAGCGGATTTGCTAACACCCCTCCGTTTCCTTAGTGTAAACAAATGTCGAAAGGAGAAAAAATAGAAAATCTTGCCTGGTGTTGATTTCTCCTCTTTGGTGGTTTCACACGAAGCTGAATACGGATCAGTCCACGATTTTCACCGCTGGTTCGGTATTTCGACTGACATACGTTATCGCAGCACGGCCCGTGTTTAGACGGACTAGAAAGCTAAACGCCTTTTTTCCCGGAATCAGTCCACCATCAGCGGGCTGGATCCGTTCATTCATAAAAAACACACACACGATGACTCGAGGCTTTAAGAATGAGGGCGGGACCTCAGCACACACAAAAATTATCAGTCAACAACCTTGTGAAACTTCTTTTTATTAACCCATTTAATCCCATCGACATTTATATTTGATTGTATATGGTCTAAAACGAGTTTATTATGTATTTTACACGTAGTTGTCAAGTTTAATGAAAGTGTAGACTAATGTGAATATTTTTACATGGCTGGTGTAATGTACACAGCCTTTTATTTTCGATGAATAAAAATGATCATAACCAGTATAAATGTATCCAATGACAATCAGTGTTCTGATGGATGTCTATTGTTTAAGAATTTGTGGATTTTCTAATGTGGGACAGCTTGAGCACAAATCAGGGACACTATACAAAGCAGATTTTAAATTTAACACTCCTGGTTAAAAATGTGCATACCCATGTTTGGTTCATTAATTTAGTAGGCCTACAGTGTGTTTGCTGTCTTCATCAGTTCGTCTAAAAAGTAGCCTATATGGAATGTACATATGGAATGGTAAATACAACTATAACAGAAATCATATACTATTTAAAAGAATTTATTACAAAAACATAGCGACAATAATAATAACCATGTAATGAAGTGAAAAATGTAACTTAATAAAGATAGCAAAATAATTTCATAAACTATTTTAAAACTTTGGAACATGGGATGTCTTAAAAATGATATTAAACTTCTATACTCTGCACATGGTAAGAATATGGAACATGTATTTTCAAGAGCATGTGTTAAGCAAATTGTAATGTAACATTAATTTCGTCTAAGTCGTATGTCACTGAACTTTGTGCAAACTTCACAAGAGGTGCTTCCTCTTTGATGATTTTCATGGCCGCATTTATGACATACCTTCCAGAAAGTCAAGTTATTTCAATAAATTGACACCCTGCTTGAATTCAACACCAATTTAACGTGGTAACAGAAGAGATAAATGCACTGAAGCGTAGGTGTCCCACATTAGCCAGTGTTCCACATTACACAAATCCACCCTGTATCCACCCAATATTTAATTGTGTATGTAATTGTATGTTTTTGAATTTGTAAATTAAAAATGTTCAATATAGTGTTTAAAAACATTTAATTTCACGAAAAGATTATGTCTCTAAGCTCCATAAAAGAAAGCATGCATAAACTACAACTCATACTTTTTATACATTCAATATTTTAAGGCTATTAAGACCACTCTTTCTCGTATATATTGTGATCAAAATAAACAAAGATGTATTTGAGCATATTTGTGATCACTAGGGAAACACAGACCCTTATTTTAAATTAGTAACTATTAAGTATTAATTCAATAAGTAACTGAATAAATAACTCTTAAACTAAACGAAACACAATAAAAAAAAAAAGTTTATTTATTTTTCCCACAAAATTGCCTGATAGTAACATAAGTATACACAACATTTAACTACAGATAGTTTCCCATCAGTAACAACTGTGACCAGAAATAAAACATGCTTTCACTAAGTTGAGAGACATGGAGCTTGTTCCACGTATTCATGCTAAAAAGTACTAGGCAATAAATAAATAATGATAATAAAATAAACAATGTCTGAAACTCCCACAGTAGCCGTATTCTCTCTCTCTCTCTCTCTCTCTCTCTCTCTCTCTCTCTCTCTCTCTCTCTCTGGTATGAAGTGACGTGAATATGTACGTAATTGGAGTTCCTCCTCCACTTCATAGTAATAAAAGCAGCAATCTTCCACTAGTTCATCGACCACTAGCACGCAATCATGCGCTGCAGTAAGACCTCCCTTTCGATAGGTGTCCTAATATGTCTTTGTGCTTCCTTACAAGGAACCGGGGAAGTAAATCCGTCTCACATGTAACCAAAGTGACCTCAGGTTTCAATGCGTGCTCTTTGGTTCTAAGTGGTTGTGAAGCTGTAAAACATCACTGAGGTCCTTTCACAATTATAATATAACGTTATTGGTAAAAGTGACTAGCGCCGTATTTTAAATGGCTGCTATCCAGGAGCTCTCTCCAGACTCTGGCCGTGGGGAGACACGACCCCCCGAAGACGAGATCGAGGGCGATGATGAGGATGAAGAGGTACTTGATTGCTTCTGCAGTTTTGCTTGACCTTATGAAATTGTGAAGATAAAGGAAACTGTAAGGAAAAAGACTAAAGCTATTAGCTTGTTTGGTGCTTTTATAGCCAATATTAGCTATTTAGCTGGTCAAACCTGGCATAAAAAGAAAAGCCTACTTTTTAAGATGTTTGTGTATTTGCCTCACGATTTTATTTTATTCAGGGATTTGTTCTGCGTAAGTGACGACATTTTATCTTAATTTTGCATTTCACAAATGTCACTTGAATAATTATTTCTACTAAATAATTAACAATTTATATAAATAATTCATTTTAATTTACTATTATTTCTTGCAATAATTAGTGTTTGTCCTTTAATATCAATCTTAATTTTTCACATACACATAGTATATCATATTTTAATATTGCACAGTTAATACTGTCAAATGCAGTTTACCTGCTTACCTGCACATGAGGAATGAGGTTTTCCATTGAGTCCCGAGTAAGCCATTTTTACTAAGGCAGTTTCTTTTGTCCCATGACTGGTGGTGTTAATTTTCTGACATGGTTCCTACTTTTTCCTTCTCTCCCAGTTGGATGAAACACTGTTGGAGAGGTTGTGGGGTCTCACAGAGATGTTTCCAGAATCACTGCGATCAGCAGCTGAAGTTTCTGCACAGTGTTCACTATCTGTAGGCAAAAAACTTTACAGGTGAGGTACTGGCAGTTGTATCTTCCACTTAAAACAGTACTTTTCTTTATAATCTGGACATTTTAGTACAATTTTTTCATATTGTGCTTTCTTGTAGTTTCTCCCGCTCAGCTCTATGGGTCGGTACTACTTCTTTTATGATTCTGGTTCTGCCGGTTGTCTTTGAGACTGAGAGGTTACAGCTGGAACAGCAACAACTACAACAGCAGAGACAGGTAAGTAGCACCAAAAACATCCTGCATAAATATAAACACTTTCCTTGCAATATCATACTCCGCTAAATAGAGGTGAGCTGTATGATGAGAATCTTGTATAACAGTATGAGTAATTTTATATCAAAAGATACAAACTAAAGAGTGTTAAAGAATCACTGCAAAAGCAGCATCTCATTATGTAACAAATGTGTTTGAAACAAAACTCAAAACAGTACTGATGATATAATGAAATATATTGTTCTGACACTAAATTCAGATTGGATGAGTCATATTTAAAGCTATAGACTTCAACAGTTGGGTTCCGGAAGTAATCCTAGTCATTTTCTCCATAAGGAAATTGTTTTTTTTGTTGTTTTTATTCACTGTAACTTATAAATCTTTAAACTAACTTTGAGCTACGAGGTTGTTAATCAGAGGAATTTTAATTTATTATTATTTAAATGGGATTGCTGATGGAAAACTACATTACCCAGGATTCTGCATAGAAATCAGGGCTGCACGATTAATCGCATGCGATATTTAACGCGCATCTTGTCAGAAAGCCGGTTCTGTAATCAGCGGTAAATCTCCATCACCTGCGTGCTTTCACATTGAGCAGCATTAACTACACAGAGCCGTTGTTCACTGACGAGCTGCGCTAAACCACGTTCATATTCGCGCGATTTTTAGCGCAGCTCCTCAGAGAACAACGGCTCTGTGTAGTTAATGCTGCTCAATGTGAAAGCACGCAGGTGATGGAGATTTACCGCTGATTACAGAACCGGCTTTCTGACAAGATGCGCGTTAAATATCGCATGCGATTAATCGTGCAGCCCTAATAGAAATCTCCACCAATTAGAGAATCATGAAAAGCAAATGCCATAAAGCACTGTGAATGACTGTAACAGGGTCAGTCTCCCTACGTAACATCTTTGAATCATTTCATTTTTTACCCATTGCTTTTAATTTGTGTATGTATTATTTGCAATGCTTCACAGGATTTGTAATTCTTTCCTACACAGTCTTGTGCCTGTATTTTTTGTCTTATTTTCAACTGCTTTTTTGCTTTAAATGTAAGTTTGTGATGTTGTGGTTTACCATATTTAAAAGCATGTGTTTTATGTGTACTTTTTTATTGAAATATGAATCCATTTCTCATTTCCTTTGTAATTTTGCTGCTTTTAATAGATTTTGTTGGGTCCAAATGCTGGCATGTCTGGAGGAATGCCTGGAATTATGCCACCTGCTCCTGGGAAGCTGTGATGTATATATTGTAGCATCCATGAGTTGTAGAAGAAGGGGAAAGAGAGAGGGAGCAGGAACTGGAGAATGATGTGAGAAGATGCTGTGCTCGGTCAACATCAAGAAGTCATTACCCTGTATAGTTGTGTGTACAGTGGAGACCTTGATGACTTTTTATGAACGTCCCTCTCTCTCTGCCTTTCTCACAAAACATTCTGCATAGACTGTCGTCCAAGCTCTGATCGTTTACTTTTTTATTATAGCCATCTAATAACATTTCTTTGGGAAAGAGAGTATAGCAGCTTTTGGGGAATATTTCGACTGTGTTGTAGGTGCATTATATTTCTAAGAGAGTGTTTACGGTGCAATGTTGGCCATTGAAATGCCGGATCAACACTGACGTGCAGAGAATCTGTAACAGCATTCACAAGATCTGTAGTATTTTTGAGGGCACACAAGGCCAATATTGATTGTGAAATTTTCTCTTTCTACAAATTATGGTTGTTTTTTGTTCTTGATTGAGAAATGTTAAAACCTTTAGAAATGGTTCTCTACCAACGGTGTCTTTTACAGGTAGAACTAATATCATGCAAAGCTTGATGCAATGTTATTCCTCAGACAAAAGCCATACAGTATGCAGAACCATTGTGAAATATTTAAGAAAGAATGTTTCGAAACATTGTAGTTTCAGTAGTGAATAATTATGTTTGCTCCACATGACAGGAATAAAAACAAGTCCTCTGTCATTGTCTTTTGTGTATACTTTATATTGCATATTAAATATTTGCATGTCACATGTTAATGCAAAATAAAAGTCATGTTTCAGTTTGACACTACAGTGATGATTTGATCAAAATAGCTAAAATCAAAATAGTTTGCCTAAACCTAATCCTAACATCAATAGCTAGCTAACAGTGAATAATATAACTGTTATTATATAATAATATAATAATTATTATATAATAATATAACAGTTATATTATATATATAAATAGCTTTGCCCCCAGGCAATGCTATTTCCTTAATAATTATTTTGAATAATTATTTGTAAAAAAAATTCAGGTTTCATAGGTGGAAGTGACGTCACAAAACGAAAAAACGTCAGTTAAAAAGTGCTAAATTAATAATTTCCACGCTCTCTGTTTATTTAGATTATCGTAGTTTACAGGGGAAAAAAACACTTTATACATTTTCATAAGGTTTTGAGATTTGGGTTTTGGAGAATAAAATATCGACAGCATTAAATGTATTTGAACGCTTTAGAAATAAGAGAAAGAGATAAACAAAACCACCTAGATATATGTTTATTCAAGTTTAAAAATCACAACTATTAAAAAAACCTGAAACTTACTGTGCGTGACGGTCCATCATGCCGTTTGACTTTCAGAGGCGGGACAGAGGCGCGCACTAAAGTTTCACTCAGCGCGAGATATCACTGATTCGAGTCACTGGTTTCTGTCAGCTTTCTTTGAGGGATTAACGCGAGGTAACTTCGTTTATATTCATTCATTTTTATAAAAACAGTTACTTTGCACTTTTACGAGGAACATGACACTATTACTGTATATTACTATTAACTGATAATGTAACAGCTACAACGAGAATTAAGATAAATTCCTTTGAAACAGACAGCTAACATAGTTAACAGGCAGCTGATTAAAAAGTAAGCCAAATATAAAGATTTATCTAGATACTTACAGACTGTAATTAACGGTTATTTGGCCCCCAAAACAATGTATTTTATTGTAAACTCATTTTTTTAAACAAATCCGTAGAATGAAAGCTTTAGAGCAGTGGTTCTCAAACTTTTTACAGCGGCGTACCCCCTGGGGCATTTAACATTCTTCTGCGTACCCCCTCTCTTCCACTTAGACCGCAGTCACACCTTTTCTATTAAAGGACAATATTTGCACCCTTAAATTGATTTACAGGTGCATTTTTTACCTTTATAGAGGCAAATATTTTCTATCCTTAGTATGTCATGTTTTATGTCATATTCTTAACATTTCATTAAGTGTATTATTAATATAATAAACAAAGCAATAAATGATGGCAAATCGAAGTGATACTTAGATTTACAAATAAAACCGCCAATAGGTGGCGGCAAGTCGTTGTTTTAATGAGCCAGGCGTCGCGTCATTCATTCCTTCATTCAGTAACAAGCAAAATGCTGTAGTTATGAATGGGTTATTAATCACTGACTCTCCAAATCGTTCAAAGCCGCAGATTCGTTCACTAACGAAACACCGCTGTATGATGCTTGGAGACGCACACCAGATGATACAGATTTCGTTGGAACTATTATTTTTCGTTGCAAAATAGAACAAACATGACAATATTCTGTTCAAAATGTAAGCTACATTTAAAATCTAAAATGTTCACTTAATATGACCTTTTCTGTTGAACTGTTGTAAAAAATTGATGGCACATTTGCCATCGTTTGGATATTCAGGGAAATTTGCATTCTTGCTCGCATCTTAAACATGAAAACAATAACACGCACAGAGTGTGTCTGTATCGAAGAGAGTTTAAATCGATCTCAATGTACAGTGCGTGTCAATATTTGCTCTTCATGCTAGTGAAGATCTACTTTACATTGAACAGCAGCGTGATTTGCTAAAGCAGCATATTCAGCGGCCATCCTATCACATGCACGCTGCTTGTGTGGATGCAGTCAGTTTTGACCGCAAAAAAATGAGGTAAGCTGATTGGATATCATGTATTTGACCGTTTACGGCACCCCCATTTTCCTGATTTTACATTAGAAGCGGCATTCTGCTTGTCAGAAATACATTCGGTTTTAATGTTGCTTTAAGTTGGGGTATTAAATGAATGCCAAAACTCAAGTTTGTTCGCGTACCCCCCACCGTCATCTCACGTACCCCAGTTTGAGAACCACTGCTTTAGAGGACCAGGCTTTGGAGGATCAGTCGGGGTACCAAGAAGATGAGGTGATTCACATTCATTTCTATGAGCTAAGTTAACAATACAATTTCAAACGTATTAGTGAGGTCTTGTGTTTATACAGGATATTAACTGTTTCAAAATGCATTTAAGGAAAATATTAAACATTTAAATTAGTATTTTTTTTTTTTTGTTACTTGTTTAAAGTTGTGTATATAACATATATATTTTGTATAACGTACTGTATATATATATATATATATATATAAAGTTGTGTATAACAATAAAAAAAAATGTATAAATTCCCCCATAGGAATCATTTTTTCAAGACATTGAGCTCTTACAGAAACATGGAATTGTAAGTAACGTTAATGTTACTGTTAAGTTTTTAAAGTCATGAAATTGTCATCATGAAGGTGGCTCTGATTCATATCCCTCTCTCTTAAGAACATGGCTGACATTAAGAAACTGAAGTCTGTAGGCATTTGTACTGTGAAAGGCATCCAGATGACCACACGCCGTGCTCTCTGTAATGTAAAGGGACTGTCTGAGGCTAAAGTTGACAAAATAAAGGAAGCCGCTGGAAAATTGCTGGTAATTTGATGGGGCTTCCTGGAATGTATATAACAAATTTATTTGATGAAGGAGACTGGATTTATGTATTGTACAGTCATTACATTTTGTCTTTTTGCATTCAGATATGTGGATTTCAGACAGCGTCTGAATACAGTATAAAAAGGAAGCAAGTGTTCCACATCACAACAGGCAGTCTGGAGTTTGAGTAAGAAATAATCTGTTTAATAGTCCTAAAATACAAAGCCCCACAGATGAACAAAACTAGATATTGTGTAATAAAATGAGGGAAGGAATTAATAAAAACACAACCACAAATTAAGTTGTGGGAACAAATTCTTAATTTGTGGCCACAAAATCCATATTTCCTATGTCATGTATGGGGCTCTGTACTTAATAAGGGTTTAACATTTTGTCTGCTAGAAGTCACATGAAAGCAGAAATGCTTTATTCATATTTTGTTTAGCAAACCCCTAGGAGGAGGTGTGGAGAGTATGGCCATTACCGAGGCTTTTGGTGGTAGGGTGCTGTTATGATTACGAACCAAAATTATATGTTATGCATTTTCTGTCCAAAATGACATGTTTTTATAAATCGTTTCCCATGCCTCATTCAGAATTCAGAACTGGAAAGACTCAACTCTCTCATACACTGTGTGGTAAGAGCAAAAATGGATCTTGTGGAAATGTTAAATGTGGAATTTAAGTCTAATTTTAAGATCATTACTGTCACTCTATTTATCTTTTTCTTAACCGCTCAGCTTCCTGGTGAATATGGGTACACAGGAGGAAAGGTCATCTTCATCGATTCTGAAAACACCTTGTATCATTTCTGCATTTGCTTGCTTTGTGCCACATTAATTTTTCTAAACCTATTCAATACGGAGAAGCCATATTGAACTTTTTCTCCTTAATAATTGGAACACCAGTCGGCCTGATAGGCTAAAGGACATAGCTGACAGATTCAGTGTGGATCATGAAGCTGTACTGGATAATGTGCTATATGCACGTGCATATAGTAAGAACTTTCATCTCAGAACTTTTTATCTTAGTTTTGAAATGTTGTTTAACAGGCTAGTCAATGAGGTCACAAAGAGTGGTGTTTTTATTTTTTATCAGCCTGTCTTTTTCATTAATAGGTGAGCATCAGATGGAACTGTTAGACTTTGTTGCAGCCAAGTTCCATGAGGAAGGAGGTTTCTTCAAGCTTCTGGTAAGATACAATACACATTCTGAGGTTTAAGGAAGTGATTTTACTTAATTTTGTGGCCATCAACAATGAATTTTCCACAGATAATAGACTCAATCATGGCTCTGTTCCGGGTGGACTTCTCTGGAAGGGGTGAGCTGGCTGAGAGACAGCAGAAGCTTGCACAGATGCTCTCCAGACTGCAGAAGATCTCTGAAGGTCTGGAAAATTATCTTTATAACAAAGAGTGAAAAATTTAAGGGGGTCTGAATACTTTCCGTACCCACTGTATTAATGAGAATGAAGACTGCTCATGTAATGGACATGACAATGAAAATGATGGTAGTTAGTCTTATCTTTAGTTAAGTAAGCTTATGATTTAGACATGAGAACTTTATTTTTTGACCTTCACTTATTTAGTAATATCTGTCATTTTTTTGGATATAGAGTACAACGTTGCCGTGTTTGTTACCAACCAGATGACTGCAGATCCAGGAGCTGGAATGACATAAGTAGGAACACAAAACAAACCGGAAAGAGAATTTTGGGGCATTTTGAACTGATTATTATGATCTTAGATTTCAAGCGGATCCCAAAAAGCCCATTGGTGGACACATACTGGCACATGCCTCCACCACACGCATCAGCATGAGGAAAGGACGTGCTGAATTGAGAATTGCCAAAATATTTGATAGGTAATTTCAAGATTTTCTCAGTAACACTTTATAATAAGGTCCCATTACGTAATATTAACTAATGCATTGACTAACAATGAACATTAAAATTGTTATAGTATTTATTCATCTATTGATGTTAAAAAAAAATACAACTGTTCATTGTTAGTTCATGGTCTATTAAATAAAATGATCAAATACAATACTTTTGATTTTAATATTCTATTAGTACATGTTGAACTTGAAAGATAAATACATGCTTTTGAAGTATTTTTATTACATTGTTAGTTCATGTTAACTAATGTAATAAACTAATGCTAACAAATGGAACCTTATTGTAAAGTGTTACCATTTTCTCTTTTTGTTTCACAACTAAGATAAAGAGAAAACATACAACGCATAATTTATGCATACACTAACATTGTTAGGTAAATATATTTGTATATTTAGACAGTTATGATTGTCTTTTGATTGAAATGCTTGCATCAACAAAACCTTTTCTTTTCTACAGCCCAGACATGCCGGAAAACGAGGCTACTTTTGCCATCACAGCTGGAGGAATAGCAGATGCCAAAGACTAAGAAAACATGTTACATAGCATGTTATGAGTTCCCCAATCCTTCAACGTCTCCAGTTTGTTAATGATGGAACAACTGTTCAAACTGAACCAGTTGTACCTATTTATTTACATGTTTATCTGTTATCTGTTTATGCATTGTATTTATACTTTATACACTACACATCTGTTTATATATTGTGTAATTTGAATGGTACCGTATTATTTATTTATACAAAGCTATTTTAATTCAATTAAAATGACATAAATCGGTTGAATAAAAACTATTGCAGATTAGTCACATATTTAATGTTAATATTTGCCTTTTTGAACGTTGTACTGTTACCGCTTTACCACAATCGCCTTAATTTGAAAAGCTGTTGATGTGGCGATTATCACACATGGTCGCTGCTTTCACAGTCCACGTTTCTGCACTGCGCGCATGCAAAATCCAGGATCAGCTAACTAGCTACACGTCCATGGTGTCGCATGAAGACTAGGCGCCCCATGCACCATTTCATCACATTTACGAGTTCCCAAATCCCTCGAATTACGTGGAATAGATACTGAAAAAAACAGTATATGGTTTTGGTCAAACCCGCCTCGTGGGTTATACCGCAACCCGCTGGAAACGCCAGCTATTCGTGTTAAAGCCACTATGGACTCGAGAGACACAGCCCCTGATTCGTGGGAACAGGAGGACGATGTTGAGGCCACGGCTGATGCCGAGCTTCAGTCCGCCTTCACCGGGCTCAACGTGAACGCTCCCGAATTCGTACCATCCTTTCTTTCCCGAGGTCCACCGGAAAACGGCACGTCTGATGGTAAACTCAACGTTAATAAACCGACTGACAGCATTGATCAGGTCTGCCCATAAAAGGGCTTTTAGCTGGAAATGTTTATAGCAGGCTAACCGGAGAGATGGTAGTGGTTAGTTCGAGCGCTATGTTTATCATAGCCGAGTGAAGATATTTTATTGTACCTAGCCAGTTGTACGTTGCCACTTCATAAAATGTTGATTTAGTGCACTTCAATACACATTGCTGATCTGTCATGAACTAATACCCAGCTAGCCTTGCGTGGCCGGTTTAGCCGCCGACTTCACACCGGGATATTACCTGTTTCTTCCCCTACATTGATTCTTCTAGTTAATATATGATACTAATGGTTTCCTTCTTAAAAAGCTTTACACATAAATAAGTTCGCAACCTTTTTGATACCATTAAAATTATGTATATTTACATGAAACGAAGACCCTAGTTCGAAGTTTTAGTTTACACAGGAGCGGGTCGCCCCTCATGGGTGCTGCGTTGATATCACATGACCAACTGTCGTACAATTGTTAATACTACTATAATAACAGGCAGATGACTTGCTGTCAATATCTGTCACCTGTCTGTTTCAGGTTATGTAATTTATTCTGTAAATTACAGGTGGTAAAGTTCACACCAACTTTGAGAAAATCGTAAATATGCTGAGTAATATTAATTAACTACATGTACTTACTATATGGTTAGGGTTAGGATGAGGTTTTGGCTCAGGGTTGACTTGCATGTAATTATGCATAATTTATTGTTATTATAATAGTAAGTACATGTAACGTGTAACAAAGACATCTTAAAATAAAGTGTTACTATTATGTCTATTCCACTTCTTTCACAATAGTGATTTAAACAACTTAATCGTCTTAACCTAATTTATCTTAAAAACAGATTTATAGCATTATAATGTAACGTTATCTAGTCATTACCACCCTCTGTCTCTGTCCACAGGCACCGATGCAATGGCCAGCATGGAGATCTCAGAACCAGTGGGTATGTTCATGTTTTTTGGATAGCTTTTCTGCTTGGGTTTTGTGTTCTGATATAGTGTTGCACTGCCACTAATGCTGCTACATCAGCCATACAGAGGGCAACTTGGGCTTGTTACATCAGCACATATGTGCTCATATTACAGGCCTTATTTTATCTCTGTACTTACACCTCCAGCCGCAGCTACTGACCCAGAGAAGCAGATGACAATGTTTCCGTGAATGGAGCAGTGCTTACTCATTTAGCCCCGATTCCAGCTGTACACTTTATGTAAAGCATACATTTTCATACAGCTGCACAGTTTTATGAATCAGTTGTTACCTTGCTTGTTCTCTGAAGCTGTTAGAAGTAGACAGGACTGCATTGAATGTGTTCAATGACCTGTTTAATAGAACTGTCAAAACAATGAATGCATTTCTTAATTGTCTGTCGTTGTAGCATGCTGAGCAAAAGGGTCTATCGTGTTTTTATAAATTGTTATGCAGTACAATATTTGCAATGGCATATAAATCAGTTAATTGAAATTCCTTTCCTGTCCTCTGCTTAAGTTTTCAAATCTCTTTAGTTTGCAGTGGTTCCTAACCTTTTTGACTCCAAGACCCCCCTTTTATCTAAGCTGATATGTATTTCTGGTACTTTAGTTGTAATGAAAAGAAATTTAAAAAAATTTCAATTTTTTTTCAGAAGTTGTACATCTTTATTTTACATCTATATTGTACATAAGTACATTTAAATAATTTTGATTGAAGTTTTGTTGAGGCCCCCTAGTGGACCCCAGCCCACTGGTTGAGAACCACTGTCTTAGAAATGAAAATTCTGCCATCTTTTACTCACCTTCATGCTGTTTTACACTCATTTGACTCACTTTCTTCTTTGGAACCCAGAAGGAGACACCCTGTGCTGGTCGTTCTTTTACATGGCATGCAATTGCAATGAAAGTGACTGAAGCTTTTACGCTTCAAAAAAAGGATGCAAAAGCACCATGCATGTATCCAACAATAAGTAGTCCATGCAAATAATCAGTTGATTATTTGTTGCATTTAAATGTGAAGACATTGATATTTGATTTCTTCCTTTTTTGGCACTCTTAAAGAGATACACCACCCAAAAATTGCCATCATTCACTCACCCTGATGACAAACCTGTATGTATTGTTTCTTCTTCGTAACACATTTTGAAGAACGTAACAAAAACAAAATTGGAACCCGTTGACTTCCATTGTATGGACAAAAACACAGAGACATTTTTCAAAATCTTCCTTGATGTTTTAGAGAAGAAAGAATGTCATATAGATTTGGAATGACATGAGGGTGAGTAAATGATGACAAAATTTGTATTTCTGTCCTGCATATAAACACTCTTCAAAAATGTCTTCTTTTGTGTTCTGTGAAAAGTCCTATGGGTTTATAAACAAGTCATCATGAATGAGGAGAAAATTATGACAAATTTGTAATTTTATAGTGAATTATCCTTTACTTGCCCTTACAGTCTCTTTTGTTTGCTTGTCTTTAGGAGATCCTTTGCTGTGTTTAGAATGAAAAACTTTTACTTTTTTTTTTTAACATTTCCAGAGGTGTAGCTAAATGACATTGTTTTTGAGCTGACACAACTGAAATGACAATTACAGTATGATCAAAGGGCCATGTTAGATAATGATCATTTCAAAAACCATTTTTGTTGGCTGTTTTCTGTATTTTTTTCTCTGTGTTTTAATAAGTCAACCTTGAAACCTGTGTCCACTAAACACAAACATGTTCATGTGACTGTCTCCACAGCTGCAGTGGAGAATGGAGAGACAGATGCCAGCGCAGTGGAGACATGGGAGCAGAAAGGTGAGCCGGATGAGGAGGAACCAGGAGGTGGATCCCCGGCGGACACAGGATTTTGTGGGGATGAGGAACAGGATGAAATGATGGAGGAGGATGAGGAGATGCCAACACCCAAGCTGCCTCCTCCTCCACCGGATGCCCCTAAGAAAGAACATGTGAATGTTGTGTTTATTGGACATGTGGGTATGTTAACATGTTTATAGTGTCATTTAGTGTTAAAATATACAATTTTATTTCTTTGTAACAATGCCTGCTTGTCTAGTTATTATATATGTTATCCAGAATTTTTTATTTGATTTATTGCCTGATTTATTTTTCTTTTGTACAGATGCAGGCAAGTCTACAATTGGTGGACAGATTATGTAAGTGAATGATGATTATTTTATAGCAAAGTCTTGACTGACATAACTTTCTGTTATACATTATGATTATATGATGTAGCAAATGCATATTTAATTGTTTTCCATTAAGGTATCTAACTGGTATGGTAGACAAACGAACGCTGGAGAAATATGAACGGGAGGCGAAAGAGAAGAACAGAGAGACTTGGTAAATAGACCAAGTTCATGTCTTTTCATAATATGTACTAGTACTGACTATGTATATATTTGATAAAAAATACAATAAAAAAAAACAGTAATATTGTGAAATCTTTTAAAATAACTATTTTCTGTTTTAATTCAATTTGAAATGTAATTTATTCCTGTGATGGCAAAGCGGAATTTTCCTCAGTGTCACATGATCCTCCATAAATCATTCTAATATGCTGATTTGGTGCTCAAGAACCTTTTCTTATTATTGTTAATATTGAAACAATTTCTTTTTTTTTCAGGAAGTCCAAAAGAAAAGCATTTACTTGAAATCTAGATCTTTACCGTCACTTTTGATCAATTTACTGCATCCTTGCTAATTAAAAGTATTCATTATTTTTTACAAAAATCTTACTGACCCCCAATTTTTTGAACAGTATTGTACATCATGTGACAAACATGAAGTCTGGTTAAAAAGCTTTGTCTAAGATAAGAAAACCTTATGGCATAGTCAGTCTTGGATGTCTATGTGAGCTTATAAAATATTCATGTCTTTTTGACTGATATGTTCGCTCTTATGATGCAGTCTGGGTTGAAATGACTTCTCATATGTCTGCTTGTCCCTGCAGGTACCTTTCCTGGGCTCTAGACACAAACCAAGAGGAAAGAGACAAGGGGAAAACAGTAGAAGTTGGAAGAGCCTACTTTGAAACGGAGAAAAAGCACTTTACTATTCTTGACGCCCCAGGCCATAAAAGCTTTGTACCCAACATGATTGGAGGGGCATCCCAAGCTGACTTGGCAGTGCTGGTGAGTTCCTCTTGAAACGCCTCTTTTATTTGCCTCACAGCAGGA